AAAAATTCATAGTTTTGATAATATTAAGTTTTTTTCTATTCATAGTTTATACCTTAAAAGGGTGTTAACTTAATTTATTTTTTTGACAACATACAAATTTAGCTAACTTATAATATAAAAATAATCTTTTTAAAATTATAACTGTTCGATAACAATTTTTGACCACTTATTTCGTAATTTATAAATATATAAAATAAATGGAGTGCAAGTAAAATGTGTTATTTTTATCATTTAGAAATACTATTTCAAATGTTCTTATTTGTTAAACGTTTCCTTAAAAAGATTATTTTTATTTTATTAGCTTCTTAAAATTACAATACAAAATATTATATTTTAATTTCATGCTAAATTTAAGTTTTATATGTGTTTTTTCATGTATTATACTTTTAAATAATACAATTTGTAATTAGGATGTTATTAAGGAAATAGGAGTTGCTTTTGGAATAATTCAACAATTTTTTTTAAAAATTAAATACTGTCATTGATTTGTTTTTTATAATAGTTATTTTAATCATTGTTAGATATTATCTATAATTCTATAGCAAGTATGTTCATACACGAGTACAATAAATTAATCTATGTTAAACATATAGTGATTTATTATTTATTATAATATAATTATACTAATAAAATTGGATTCTGTTTTAGTGTCGTAATACTACTATGCAAAATGTTTATTTTATTTTAATTATAAGTATTTAAAAGATTGCAAAGAATAAAAATCGACACTTATTAAAATTAATAAGTGCAAATTACAAAACTTTACAACTATTTAAATATTGTATGTAATTTAATGTGACGGGTATAAAAACATTGGCAGTTAACAAGTATAAATAACATTTTAAAGCTTTCTCCAAAAATAAAAAACGTTATAAAATAACGTTTTTGTAAAATTATTACGGAGATATTTGAAAATAAAATAAATTACCGTGTGCGTTCAATAAGAAAACGTTTAGAGAAGGAATTTAAATTCTTGGAAAATATTCAGGATCAATTTAAGTAGACTTTTAAAAACAAATAGAAACCTATAAGTTTTAGCTTCTAGACGAAAAACCGCCAACGAAGCATGCTAATTTCTTGTTTAACATTTTAGAGAATATGCACAGCAATAAGTCAGTCTCTCTTTAAATTAATTGCTATCGAGAATAACAGCCGAATTTGTAGGTAGCAAGAATTGAACAGATAGTGCACATTAAAAATGTTGTTGTCCACAAAAAATACAATAAATAATATTCAGAGACATGTCAATGTAGATACAATAGTAGTAAAAATTGTGATTCAAAGGGTCTTTCTTTAATTTTAAAATCTGTGTAACCCTTCATGTAATGATAGTAAATTTGTTAGATGAACATTGCCAGCTGGTGGTTTACAATACCGATTCCAATTAGGTGATAGATTCATTGTGGGCGAAGAGTAGTAGAGTAGTATAACTGTTGTACGCAATAGTAGCCTTTTCTGTTGCACTATTCTTCAGTTCTATGATAGTTGTGCCAGCAAGAGAAAAACTCATAAATAACCCGGAAGATCCCCATAAAACTACAACATATTCCCACCAATAAATAAGCCGATAGATATATTTTAATACAAGTTAAACGAACACTAGTAACATATAATGCGTATGATAATAAGGTTGAAATAATAATTAGTCAATTCGTTGATATTTTTACATACAATTTAAATCAAATTAGTGGGTTAGTAAAATTTTTAATTTAAAAAACTATTTGTTACATTATTTTGTGTCTCATGTAAATACAATTTCTTAGGCTGAGTAGTGTGGATTTAAAGTTCTCATTAATAATGATTAACTACATTAAAAAATCATTTACAGAATTTGGGACACTGTTTAACCTAGTTGCATAGTGAGTTTCATTGATTGTTCTTTGTTAATGTTCTAATAATGATAAATTCATTTTTCGGGCTAGTTTATTCCAGTTTAATTGAGCGTTAATTAAATACACATGTTATAAAAGCATAACTACGTATAATAACAACCATCAGATGTATTTTTCCAATAATATTCTGAATGATTATAAGCAAGTTCAATCGAACATGCTATAATATGATGCAAAATATTTATAAATGATTTTCATTCCATATTAAAAATTCAACTTCGAAAAATGATATGGAATAGAATCAAAATGCGATTTTTTTTAAAGTAGTAATTATAATTTTATAGCTTGCTCCAAAAATATGGTACCATAAAATTTTTTTTTGAACTTAGTTAGATAATTACATTATATCATCCTTAGTTTCTCATATAATACATACAACATATATGTTTCGTATACAAAAATATTTGTAACCTCAAAAACGACTCCAAAAAGTTTTTTATTTTCTTCAAATTTCTATAATTTAATATTTTAAAACAATTTTTTCAATAAATTATTTTAATTAGCATATTTATTTATTTGCAAAATAGCTAATCTTACTATATTCGATAACAATCTCTTAAAATTAAATAAATCATAATGTTGCAGGTAATTTATCTACTTTCTAATTTTATTAATAATACTGGTTTGAGGTTTATTCATGATTTGATTGGCACACAGATAATTTTTTATTAATATATTTTAATTTTTTTTATACTTTTGAGTTAATTAATAATGAAAGTTTCTGTACATAGCTGGGATGGTCAATTAATTTTATGTTGAAGAGAATAAAAATTGCCTCTATATTTTATTTACATTAAGTTATATTAGGGCCGTGATGAGAATTATGAGAGCGTAATTTGCATAACACCATAACTATGTTTAGATGTTTGAGCTCTATCAGAACTTTTTTAGGTGGTATTTAAATATTAGAATAAATTAGTCTTAAATTCTCAAAACATGCCCGATTTGAATTTAATCTCAAACTATCTTACGTTTAAAAGTTTTTTAGTAAATCATTATTTATTTAAATTAAAACCCATAACAGACGGAAAACACTCTAAAGGTATATTTTTAACGATTTTCTTTTATCGATGATTGTAATTTTAAACGTTTAGCAAATAAATAAAATACAAAAATGTTTTTAATTATTATAAATTACAAATAACACTATTCTTCATATTGGTAAAATTAAAATTATCTTAAGACAATTATAACTGTATTCTGGGTTATTTTCGATGAAGTGGGATGAATACTAAATTATTTAATACAAACGAAAATGTCTGCAAAATCTTAGTTATCCATTATACAAAGCACAAAAATATGAATACATTGTTATGCACTATATATCATCTGAATCTTATGTAATTGTCGAGCTATAATATTTTCATAATAAAAGCTATTAAAAAAAAAAAAATTATTATTATGCACTTAAAGAAAATTGATTTCTCCTACCTTAGCATTTCAGTATAACACACAAGGTGCTTGAAGCAGTTTGATACTAGGTATGGGTGTGGTAAATTTCTAATAAAATATTCTATAGCATAGCGCATTCGATCAAACTTCTACTTGCATGCTATTCAAAAGGCATTTGACGTATGAAATATTCATAGAAAATGCCACAGTGAAGTATTTTTAATACAGTATGTTTTTTATCACTATTATAATTTTACTTTATACTAAAAAACACCAAATCAATTGTTTTTAAACTTGCATTACCATGGGACTACATGCATTTTCAAATATCCGTATACATTTACATGAAAATCTCTTGTAAAAGTAAATTTTATATTCTTGATCTTCTGAAAAGTAAAAACACTTCATCTCAAGTTAACTTGAGATTTTTATAACGGTAGGTATACATGACGGATTATCTCCCAATAAATGATTATTGAAGTTAAATTGTATAAATTGAACTACTACTTATCAAGAACTTACAAAAACTTTTTTAGTTTCGATGCGAAGCTGAGAAGATATTAATTCTACCATGATGTGTTTATTTTTATTATTATATTTATTTTATTTTTATTTGTCACTACTTTTTCTTAGCTTTCACTGGACTGATTTTTTCAACAATACACCAAAAAATCGCAAATTTTTAAAATTAGTTAATTTTGACTTTTATTAATTAAATTATTAAAACTTTTTTTTTATAATTACTTTAAGTACTTACCTTTCATCAGGAATTTTCAAAATAACAACTTTTGTATGAAAAATTAACTTTTTTAGCTTTACAATTGAAAATGTTTTGGGTTACTCCAAGTAATAATATATATTAAATTAAAGCTTATGTTACGTAATATAAGTTGAAAAAAATAAAATTTGTCTCGAAACCATATCTTCTATGTGTAAATGACTGCTGTGATTAAAAAAGAATGATATTTTAACGGTGAATTCTCGATTTTATATTTTATATTGCTATAACTATTTGAAAATTAAGGATCAATCAAAATTTTTTACTTACTAATTTTACATGTTTCTTTTATCCGAAAAAGTTTTTTTTAAAAACCGATTATTTTCCCTTGTACATAAGAATTCGAAACGTAAATATTTTTCAACTTAACTTTTCAAAATATTCTGGAAATACTGAGTTTTTTAAACAATATTTAATATAAGGTGTAATATTATCAAAGTTTTAAAAAATTGTCTAAGCAACTTGTCTTCTATATGAAAACAATGTCCAAAGTTAAACAAAAACGTTATTTTAGTAAAAAAAATACACAGTTTTTCGTTTTATTATAATATTTTATTTCAATTATTTTGGTAAAATTTAAGTCAAACAATATTGAGTAATCATATATGAATGGAAAGTAAGTACCACATATAAACCCCCCCTTTTATAAAAAAAAAACCATCAAAAGTTTTAATTATAAATATTTTGAGCTTTTCATGTCAATCCAATAAGTATATTAAATGACTACCCTTTCCCAAAAATGTCCTAGCTTCCAATAGTTTATGATAAATTACAATTTAAATACTAATTAGATAAAGGTCAGAATAATCCAATTTTAGTAGTTAGATTAATCTATAATAATAATAAAGTAACATGTATTCATCTGAAAATGTGTTAAATCAAATTTTTTTTTTGATATTTTGTAAATATGAAATTCAAAAATATTTTGATATAGTTAAACTTGGAAAAGAAAGTTCATAAATTACATGATTTTTAGAAAATAAATGTCCTATAATAGCATAAAAACCCCAAAGAAGTGCTGGTTTAATGTAAATCAACGGCTGCATAGGCGTGTAAATAAGATATAAATCAGTTGATAAATCCAGAATTGTCAATAAAGTTTCAATTGGATAGAAAATTTATCATGAATAAAGTACTTAAGCAAATTCTAAGAAAAAAATACGCATATAATTATCTATTTATTATATTTTCATGTTTTTACAGCTTATTAAGGGCCATAGTGGCCTCCTTAAATGAGAAGGTTTCTTAACCATAGTTCCTCTATGTCGAGTAGTTAGTCCGTCACAATAGAAAGGGATGGTGATTCCATTACTGAATTAATCTTTCCATCAACCAACAGGGCCGCCTGTAACCGAGTCTCGAACCCAATACAATGTGCTGGCAGATACTGCCGCCTACGGACTTAGTAAAACCGTCCCACTATCCATCATAGTTCTCTATTTTATCCTGAAAAAATGGTTTACTACTCAAATAATTTATAAAATATTGAAAAAATGTTATTTTAACTTTTGAATTTCTATGCATGTTGAATAAAAATAAATCAAGTTATGAAATATTATTATTTATAATATTTACATAAATTTAATTTAATATTTTTTGTTTACATTTGTACAAGTTTCATAAAATGTTTCTTCTCTTTTGATATTTTGGATCAATGGAACATATTTATTTCAAGTTCTATTACAGCATAAACCTAATAATGAATTATTTAACGACATTCGATTAGTGTCGAATTGAAAATATTTGTTTCTTGTAAAATTTTTTGGTAATAACTACACTGTACTAAACTAAGGATATTAGCGTTATAAGGTTATATTAATAGAGCATTGTATCGAGAACACGCGAAATGATCATTCTTTATAAAAGTTAAACAGTGTAAGTCTTTATTTGATGAATAAGGATCATTATGTATTAAATTTGGAATTTATGTTCCTATAGTACATTTAACAATGAGACTAATTAGTAAAAAATATTTAGGTTAAAAATTAACAGGTATTTTATATACAGGGTGTTCAGTAAGTCTGGAAACGGGTTTCTATTGTTCTCATTGTTTGTAACAATGAGAACAATAGAAACCCGTTTCCTGACTTACTGAACACCCTGTATATTTTAACAGTCATTACAATTTAAACAAAAACCCAGCACAGAAGGTCGCGGCACAGTGGTGACGTGGTATAGATGGATCAAGTATAATGATATCTGACAGTGATTAAAATCACTATAAAAAAAAAACGCTTCGATGCAAATCTTTAGATACTGTTTAATTTTAAAAAATTGGTGGACTATTCCAAAAGCTACATGATCTGCTAGTTCATTATTAATATCCTAATTAAGATAAAGTATGTAGAATGAAAAAGGGATTATTAAAAAATATTATTTCTCATAAAAAAATAATGTTGATCCATACACTTTTCAATATGTCATAGCATTATAAAGTTAAAAATGTAAAAAATAAAATCGAGAATTTTCACACAA